GCAGTCATTCTCTGGCTGCAAGTACATTGCTACGTATAGCTACATGCTAATATCAGGGAAACATGTAACCTTGGTTGCAGACGTCAGATCATATTTTAGACCATATTCTTGCTGAAACATGTCCAGTTGTTTTTTAAGGCTTTCACTGGTGATTTTTTACAGGAGACAGTGCTGCTATAGGCAGTCATTCTCTGGCTGCAAGTACATTGCTACGTATAGCTACATGCTAACGTCAGGGAAACGTGTATTTTTGGTTGCCGATGTTGTCAAATTCTCCCCGATTTCGGATCATAATATTGCTGGAACTTGTCTGGTTGTGTTTAAAAGCTTCTATTGGTGATTTTTCATGGTAGGAAGTGCAGCATTTCTCATGTCACTTCATCCATCCATCAGTCAGTAACAGCAGTTTGATAATTTTTCAGCTAACATAAATCACTAAAATAAAAGACAGTTGATGACAGCATCTTCTTACCTTTGTGTCAGCTAGTCTTTTGGCAAGGTAGGCATACGGGTTTTCAATGCACTGTACTGTCAGGACATACAGAAATATTAGTGACTAATCAACATGGACAGTCCATACCTATCACTCATGCAGCATTTCATACAATATTTACCTAAAACTTTCAAACCCAGTCGAAAGTCTCCTGAAAACCTTTTCTCCACAGTCTGATCCACCATCTGTCCACTCTCCAGCTCCAGTCCCATCAGTACTGTCAACATACAGTAACATACAAGGTCAGAGGAATAAATCTTTGCATATTAAAACTATAAAGACATTCTAACACACAGAGACAAATGTGCAAGAACGACTGTATGTCAGAAAAATATATGACAGGCTCACCTTTCTTGAGATGGTCTGAGTCTCTGGAGGTCAGTATGTCAATCCACGGTTTTGCTTCTGCTTTTTTCCCGTTCAGTGATGCGTAGAGAGCCTGGAAGAATAAAAACAATAAAAAAAGTCACAGATCTCAGAAATGTATGGCTTACAACCACTACGCTCTACACAAGGGCTGCTGGATTACAAGGAAATAGCCTAATTTATTCTTTGGTAGTTTAGTGGTATGTCTGATTTTCATACACTGCCAACCAAAATGATTAATGCTCTGGCAAATTCATTTTAGATGTCATATTTTCCTGTGCAGGAACAACCCTTTTTACAAGGTTTACCATGATTTGGAACAGTATGTCTGCTTCATCATATTAAAGGAGCTGTATGCGACATTTAGAGCATATCTATGATTCAGAGTCAGAGCCGGGATTGTCTACACATGGCTCTCAACATGGAGCTGTCTAAATCGGCTAGTAGCTAACTACGCTAACAATGACAACAGTGCTAACAATGGGGACAAAGGTAACCTGGGGGGGAACCGGGATCAGGGTCAGGACTGTGTTCAGTGCTAACAATTTAGCAACTTTTTTTGCTAGATATGGCGCTTCTGAAACCCCTTTAGTGCCTTTTTAAAAAAAAAAAAAAAAAGTGGCTAGCAACATGTCTACCAACTTCTTGAATAGACTATAACTCCTCTCCTTAAAGGAGCTGGCAGTATTTCTCAGCAAATGTACACTAATACAGCTCTCTGGAGTGACTATCTTCAGTGGGCGGGACAGAGCAGCAGCACATTCAGTCGACCAATCATCAGCCAGACTGACATGTGAATGAGCTGTGAATGTGTGCATCTAATGACCAATCACCAATCCCCATTGTTTGTCTTCTAAAAGCTGTAGGTTTGATTTTGTTTTGTCAAAACAGACGCAGCTAACAATTTATTTCAGTGCACGATCACCTCTCTATTCATGATACTTCAATTATAACAACAGCAATAGTGCTGACAGAGCTAAAGGTGTTAACGTGGGGAGGGACCCGGAGGGTAACTGTACGGTAACTTGGGTAGGGACGACATTATCAGCACTAACCTCCATCGGACTTACATGCACTAACAAGCACGTATGGCTGGACCATCTACCACAACAAAGAACAAAGAAACTCGAATTACAATGTCACATACATCTCCTTTAAAATAAAATACTGAAAGCTGTCCCTTACATCGCCTAGACCACAATGTTTGTGTATAAGAGTATCATGGAGAATAATACCTCAATATCTCTTCGAACTCCACAAGCAACATCTTCTTTCTATTGGGAAAAAGGAGCGAGACACTGCAATTTCAAGGTCATGTTTAAATTAAATAATCTCATAATAGCAAACATAAAAAGTGATCAGTATTCTCTAATGTTTCAGAGGAAACTATCAATCAATGCCCACTACTGAAGCTTAACTGATTGTCTCTAACAGTATTAAGGCTGATAATTATGAGGTTAAAGGTGATGGCAAAGAAAATAAATGATCAAATTACATTCAACAAAGCCACAACAAGCTTAGCAAAGTCTCCACTGGTTTCTCCTATCAGTTCATTCTCCAGGTCCTTTTTATACACTGAAAATGGAGGCAAACAAACAATATAACAAATATTAGGACACCAGAGATGATGGATTATGGGTTTGAATATCCACAAGAACCAGCCAAAACATTTGCTGGAAAGGAAAGTAGTGTTACTTACATTGTCTGTATGCAGCACTGATTTCTCGAAGCTGCTTTCCAGATCGCGTACACAGGATCTCCAGTAGTGTTTCCTCATCTGAGCCTAAACCCTGCACACACACACACACCACATACTGTATATATATCCTAGGAAAATCTTTGCCTCCTCCTAAAAACACTAACCCTAAGGCACCCAAAAATATTTATACAAAAACACAAACACCTACTCACCACCATGGCCTGTTGCAGGCGGTAAGCTTCATGCTGCAGAGGAGGCATCAGCAGTTCCAGCAGCAGATTCTCCAGATCTCCAGACAGAGCTTTCTTCAGACCAACTGCCAGGTCCTGCCACAACATCAGAGTAAACATGGATGTTTTCACATATCTTAGACATTGTCTCTGGTTTCCTCTGTTGACTTTCAATGCAGCAGATTAGAAGAAAATCTCTGAGTTACTGTAGGTCTTATGTTGGCAGCTTGAAAGGGAATTATACTATACAATACCACAATTTCTTTTAAAAACAAAACAAAAACCCTCTGTTACAACTTACAAGTAAAAGCCCTATATACAAAATCTTGTTAAGTAAAAGTACATGAGTGTGATGCATTAATGTGTAAGCATAAAAGCTACTAAAGGTGGGGCTAATGATTATATTTCTTAAATACTGCTAGATAGCTTTATACATAGTAACACATCAT